CTGAAGGGCTGCATTGCTAATGAAACTACAGCATCTCACAGGGTCTTTTTGTCTTTGTGAAACCAGTGGCCCATGCATGCATTTAGTGTAAACGCCACACTTCAGGAGTCTGTATTTTCTCAATAAAAGCACAGTTAAATGTGAAACAAAAATTCGCTGCCTTCTCCCTGAAAAAAAAAAAAAGGTAGATAACAGCAGAGATGCTTCCTTGACGGTGAGGCAGAAAGTGTAAAGGTATGCCCATGCTCAGGACATTATTGTTTTCACTAGCCTTTGCCGTGTCTGCTGTTTCTCCTACAGAACACTATTTTGTTCATTGTTCATTAGGTGACTTGGTTCCTGCTGTTCCCTGGCCCTTCTGTTTTGATTTTATTAGCCAAAATCTATGATTAGCACTTGAAAATGGGCTGTTCTTGCATGTCTGGTAATCTGCTTGTGCAATATTTAAACAAGCCTATCTGTATGCATACTGCCATAGTCCCAGAGCTGATGCAACAGATTTAATGTTGCAAAATAACACATCAGAATTTTCTGGTCTAGTGGTTTCTGTTTTTAATAGGTAAATATTTATCTATGTGTTACACTGGGATGAAGCTTCTTGAGGTGACTGTTTTGCGTTTTAGCATATCGGTTGAGATGTGTTTACATGGTGAAATCGAGTAAGAGTAAAACTCAAGTCTGTCTTATGAAAGAGGGAACTGAAGGAGACATTTTCTCTGGCTTGTCCTTTTCACATAATTTCCCCTGTGTTCCCCAGCAGGTGAGGCTGGTCTGTGAGCCCTGCACCTCTATTTCTTTATTAATAAGAGACTCGAGGGAAGGGATTTTATGTCCTTCAGCTCAGTTCTCAGCGGAGCTGATACCTTGTACTGTCTTAACTGGGTAATACATCCTCCTATGTGCTTTATAGCCCGTGAAGGGGATTCTGCAATACTTAGGGACAGGGAATCTTATTTCCGTGGCAAGGAGAGGAGGCTCCTGCTGCCTTCACAGCACTTTTCCAAGCATGGGCAAGGGAGCCCTGGTGCAGGAAGAGGTGCCCCTGGTGCGTCCTCACCCTCCTTATTCCAAACCTTGCAACCAGCTGGCCTAAAAATGTGTTAATTTTCATCTGTAAGATGAGGATTCTTGGTTGGTTTTTTTTTTTTTTTTAATTATTATTGCAGGATGTTTAATTTAATAAAATAAAATAAAAAAGAAATATAAATTCCAAGTGTTGCATATGTGTAACAATGAGCTATGACTCATACCCATAAAAGTGAGGAATTTTTAAGGGCATGGCTTGAAAACTGACCTGTGAACCTAGAAGGTGGCTGAAAAGGGAGCCATGTCCATGCTCAAACTTCTGTGTATGCATATAATTGTATATCAAAATCAGAATAGGCCTGAGGCTGCCTTTCTTGTCTCTTTCAGCCCACTGGGAAACTGGGCTAAGCAAAGAAGTGGAGCTCACTTCTTTGCTCATTGCGGTACAACGTCTGTGTCAAACAACAGGTTTAAAATGTCTTGCTTTCTTGGATTTAATTAAAGTTCATTTGACTGGAGTTGGTATGTTTTAATCTGTTGTACCCTAGCTTCATAATTAGATGGTATATTCTTGAACATTGTTGTTTCAGAGAAGTTTTTAATTTTATCTAAAGTTTGATTTTATGGTATTAATAAAAAAAAAGTTCAGAGTTTCTATGCTGGGAGGCTTCTGTAAACATTAATGAAGTGGCTCAGTCTTTTACAAATCGGTTAACAAAACTGCACTGTAGCAGATGGGGGATGTCTAGGCTCACATTATCCTCAGTTTCTTAAATGCTTATCTGCTTTCTTGTGCCTAAATGATAAACTGTTTTGAGAAATCATAAACAATAAAATACTTTGATTACATCCGTGGATGAGACAAGGAAGAGGAAGTTCAGAAGTGGTGCCTTTTATTTGCATTGACAGAAACTCGATTTCATATGAAATTTTAAGCAAGAGTTTGTTGTCTTGGATTATCTGAAAGGCTTTTGCTAGTACAAAAAAAAAAAAAAGAAAGGAAAAAAGAAATGAAAAATCTAAACAAAAGATGTCAGATGTAAGTTTGATGTTGTCCTGATTTGTTGACTGCAGAAGGAGTTAAAAATACTATTTATATTTGCTCTTCAGGAAGGTAACGTTATTACAGTGCAAATCGCAACATCATGTATAAGCTGTATAGATCCATCTGTGTGTTCATATAACCCTTATCACCAACATATCGATTTATTTGATTTCTTTTTTTAATTTCATTAATAAATCTAACACCTTTGTGAGATACTAGTAGTTAAATTTTCAAAACAGATGGAGAACGTAAGTCTCAGTTTCTGCTTTCATCACTTCCAAAGCAGACACAGTAGTCAGCTATTTTCATTACTTAATAGTGCGGGATTTGGGTCAAGTATGCCTTTAAAGCGAAGCTAAAAGTTTCCATTCATAGTGTCAAGCTAACTGCTGGATTAGAAGAGATGAAAAACTATAGAGTAAGAAGTTTTAGTAAACAGCAACAGTGATTTGAAATTGTTTCTTTAAATCATGATGAGATTTGTAGCTGTACCTAACAGTATCCAGAAAGGTGAAACTGTAACTTCCAGCGTAGTGCATTATTTGAAGGTAAATGACTTTAATCTTAATGCTAAACAGTAAATAGGAAAAAACAAGGACATGAATGCTTTTATATGAATTTGAATGTGAGTGTATGTGTAGCCTGAAAACTTGCTTAAGTTTTCTTCATAGAGGGGGATTTCTAGTCAGAATAAAGCGATAAAAGGTACAAAAAGATCCCTGGGGTTTAGCAAGCTGATATCTATTTATTAATTTTGTTTTAATGTTTATTTTTTCAAAGAATTTACCTAACACAGGTAAGAAATAAATGGTTTTATTTGTTTAACTGTTTATTTATCTGTAATATTTTTAATAGATCTTTGATTCAGCTGGAGGACATGGATTTGCTGGTGTCCAGAATTCAGCCAACTCTGCTGAGGTAAGATATGCCTGTCCTCATTCTGCACTGTCTTGTTTTTAAATTCCTGAATCTGTTTCACTAAGTGTATGATGAGGTTGGTTCAGACACCTCACAGAGGTTCATAAAATGCAGTTAGTGTTAGATGGCAGGATTATAATTCTGCTAATGAAACAACTTTAACATAAGTTTCTGAACGTGCATGGTAACCTTTTTTTAAAAAAAATAATTAAAAAACATTCCTAGAGGTTTCTTCACAGTGCTAATCCTTACAGTGTGAGAGAGTTTTGGAACCAAGCTTGTTTGAACACATCCTTTACAGTATGGTGAAACCCAAGGTGTATTTTTCCCCATTACCTACTTCAACAGAACCAGTGTATTTTAAGTATAAAGGCAAATAAAATCTAATTATAAAGTCTGTGGAGCATACCAGTAGAGAAGTGAGAGTTAATATATAGCTGGAGATTGCCCAAGTAAAGGAAGAGGAAGCAACATCCCTTCAATGGCGTTACCCAGTAAATAACTGTGACTGATGTCCTCCAGTGCCCAGGAGGAGGAGAGCTGCTGCTTGCTGTGACCTGGCGTGAGTCACGGTCCCTCTTGGCTCCCACAGCCTCCCTGGGGATAATGTTGCCGTTTCCTGGTCGGGAAGCAAAGCAGGACGGTCCAAAATCTGTAACTGCATACATGTAGGACCACTGAGTGTTGTCTGTGTACTGCAGGGCTTACCTAGACAGAATCCATCTCCCTCAGTAGGCTTGTGCAGGCTCCAAATAAAAAACTCAAATTAAGTCTTACGCACAGAGTTTCTGGACTTTATTTTCTGTATGGTATAGCTGGATTTCTTTAATGGCAACATGTGGCAGACTTGAAGGGGTATTTGTCTTCCCATCTACCCCCTGTCCCCTTTCCTCCTTTGTTCCCTGAACCGGATATTCCCCTGATGCAGTTTAAAACTTGAAAGAAGACTTAAAAAAAAAATCATACTGCAGTACTGCTTCCTTTCAGCTGAGTTTGACAAAAAAATCAAAATCTGCATTTAAAATGAAATATTACTCTTGAAAATGATTAACTATAATGAAGAGCTGTAATGAATCTCGTGAGGAAGGTTTGGACAAAGTTCATAATTTCTCATAGGTTTTTGTGTTTTTTATTGTATCATTATGTGCTACATGGTTATTTTCTCGTCAAGTGCATTCATTTAATGGCTAGGTAAGAAAGGAATATATAATTATGCAGAAGTTATACCACTGAGAGGGACATCTCCCACTGACAGCAGCTAATCCTACAATGCTGTTTTGCCTCCTGAAAGTATCTTCGCATTTTGTCTATTCTTCGAAGAACTATATGGAAACATCTGAATTCCCTTAGTTACTTGACCACTTGCTTGTAATTTCCTGAGATGGGAAAGCATTTAAAACAAGTCATTCCTCTTCTTTCAAAATAAATTATAATTATGAGGGATTTCTGGATGAGAACTCCTGTAGAGAACACTTATAAATTCTTCTAGAATGTACCATTGGGTGTGGTATGAGATGGTATCCATTTCCCACGTCAGGGACAGCAAACACAATTCGTTCCTGTCCAATCCTGTTAAAACATGGAAAGGTTTGGGCCCTCCTAAAACTGCGAAGAGGCAAAGTCTCTTGGGTGCATACCCTGAAGGTTTCTCTGGAAGGGCTGTGACACCAGTCCCTCGGTTTAGCACTGACCCCCCTTGGGGTTGGGAGGGTGACAGTGCTGCCTTGTGCAACAGGATCTGCTGTGGGTCTCCAGTCCTCTGGCCTAACATGAGTGTTTGCCCATCCTGAACCCTTCTGAGGAGATGGAGAAACGTTTTGAAGGCACCAGGGAGTGTGCTGTGTTGGGGAAGGGATGAGGTCTGGCTTCTTGACCCAGATATGGTTAAAAGCAGTCTTCTCCATATTCAGGTAGGGGCTTACAGCCCTGTTCCCCAAGTAGAGGGGACTGGTGGGGGGGCAGTGTTGTTGTAGATTTTGGGTCAGGCTTTTTCAAAGTTTAGCAGATTTGTGTTACAAGACTAAAAAACCCACTCCGATTTAGGTGCTGAAGCAGAGCTCTGCAGCTCAACCTTATTTCTAGAAAAACATTATTATTATTGTTGTCTCAACCTTATTTCTAAACCCTTTTTTTAATGGGAATTAAATATAGCGTGGGCATTTTTAAGATCCTGACATTTGATGAATCATACGACAACTCAGAAATGATTCATCATAACTCTGAAAACCGTTACTTTGGCATCAGCCTGGTTTCATTGGCTGCTTTCAAATGAAAAACAAAAACAGCATCAAAACTTTTATAAAATGCTGAGGAGTGTAGTGAATGATGACTAGTGAAGTCTGCCAGGGAGGCTGTGTTTTCCCTGAAAAGGATGATAAAACCAGAGGCAAATAGTGGGAGGAAATTATGAAGTAACCTATTGGTCCTGCAGCAGCCCTGTGGCACAACGTGTGACAGTCTGCAAATCCTGGCGCCTATTTCTGGAAAATTGGATGGGTTGTTATAACTTCATGTGGCAATGAATGAATGAACTATTGTAGAATTAGTCACTGCAGGCATAACAGGGGAAAAAAAAAACCTTTTCATGTCAGATTTTCTGAGATGGAAAGTATGGATGAAGCAACAGTACCTTGACTGCAGTTAAGGAACATAGTCATGTTTAATAACAGAGGCAAGTTTATCTCACGGCATATGCTTGAGCTCCAGTGTACGTGGCAGGGAAAGGGAAGTATCTCATATTGGCTGCAGAACTTTCTGTCCTGTCTTCAAAGCTTCTGGGGAAAAAAAAAAAAAAAAAGTGGCCTTAAATCTATTTCTCATCACCTTAATCCTCTGAGTTTTGGGGTTTAGGGTTTTTTTCACCTCTGGACAGTGAGATTTATTTGTGTTGCAGAGAGTTGAAAAACTTTGAGAATCTGTTCTCAAGAAGAACTACTGTTCTTCACAAAGCGTTCTGGTAGTTATAAACCTCTGAGCTACTGGGAGCATCTCTTTAGCTGAGGCAACACAGCTTCAGTTTTCCTTGGAGGAAGCTGCCTGAGAATTCCATCTGACTCGTTCCTGCTAAACTCTCGCAGGCTGCCTGTCTTGCCCTTTCTCCTTTCTGTTATTTCCACTGTGGAAGGAGATCAGCATTTATTTCCAGATACTTGATTTAGTGCTTTCTGAGAGGACCATGCTTCTATGGGAATCATCTTCTTCAACAACACCAGTGTTATGACTGGTCTGGAACCACAGCCACTGAGGTGAAACTTCACCTGGTGTCGATTTCATCACTTCATTAACTGTACTAGCATAAGAAGGTTCCTGTTCTGTATAGTAGTTGCTGGATTTTAGTAGGATTTCCATGGATTTGTGTTAATTGAAAATTAATTTTCAACTATTTAGAAGGGATAGTTGAGCAAGAGATACAACATCCATGAATGCCATTAGTTCATTAATGTTTTTCTGCCAAAACCAGTCTTACTCTGGCATCAGATTATTACTGTGCCATACTGTGGGTCATCTACAACCTGAATTTCTGCATTGTTTGGTAATTACCTAGATAGCATTCCTTACTACATCATTTTCACAGGCATGGTTGTTATTTGGAAAAAACCAAAATAATATTGGTCTCTCTGTTGCTACTGGTAGATTGTTGACAATAACTTTATTGCCTGCAGCAAGGGAAGCAGTCCCTGTGCCGTGATTTTACTGCAGCTTTTAATTGCAGTGCACCCCTGGGCTTGTATCCTTGCACAGCCAGGAGGAAGAATTGCATAATCAAGGGGCTTTATGTAGGCAACAAAACCTCCCAACCCAAACAAACAAACAAAAAAACAAAGAAAAAGCATTAGGGACGTAGGCACTCCTGAGAACAGCTCAGGGTATCTTAAGATACGTCTTAGGTAGCAGTTCTGCTACTTTACAGGGTTATTGTCCTTTTCCATTGACTGTAAGGGGAGTGAAAGAACTCCATCTACGTAAACTTAAGTGCCTTAAATGCCAAAACCTTGGTATTTAGAAAGAACTCCATCTACGTAAACTTAAGTGCCTTGATATGGGTATTTAGGTGACGTGCTAAACAGGCAGACCCAAATAGATAGGCAAAACTCCAAATTCTGATCAGCTCTCAGTATTTTTCTTCTCTTGTGTGGCTTCCTTTGAAATGTGTAGCCTGAAGTGCAGTACGGGAGAAAGCGTGAAAATGAAGGTGAGAAAGCAACAGGGAATATATTCAGGGTGGATGTTATTACTTGATCAAGCGGAGTGGCTTTGGAATAAGGGTGAATGTGAAGCAAAACGGTAAACAGGCAGATACCCTGTGTTACCTGTGAAACAATGTGTTCTTACACTGTAAATAGACTAGGAACACTGTATTCCTGCTTTAGTCCTTTATTATGTTATGGCAAGTCTTGCTCCACAGTGCTCTCTGCAGGAAACTTACTATATTGTCGTTTTCTGTCAAAATTACAGTAATTCCGGGTTTTTTTTGCATTTGTTAATTAGGTAAAATTGTAGTAGTCAGTTCTTCTTGAGAATTTATTCCCACTGCAATATAGTGTCAGGTAGCCACATATTTTCACTTCGAGTTAAATCAACAATTAATATGAGATGTAGGCGTAAAAGCCCGTAATGGGAATGCAGAGGAAGTGCAATCTGTTCTCAAGAAAAACAGGCCTTCAATAGTGAATGAGAGCTAGTAACAGAATTTTGTCCCTGTCTTGCAATGGGGAAGATACACAGGACTGTGTCTAAATACATATCCACTGCAAACTGCCAATGTAATTGTACTTTTGGGGTTTTTTTTTTGCAACATCCACATATGTTGTACATTTCTCCTTTGTTTTCAGCAGCAAGTCGATGACTTTTTGAATGTCTACTGCTCAGTGCCAGAGAGCATTCAGAAGGAGAGTGCTTGGGAAACCCAGACGTATGTTCACTTTTGTGATGGCCAAGGAGTGGCACTGACCCTCAAGCCAGAGCACAAGGTGGAAGATGTATTATCTTTGGCATGCAAGGTACTAATTTTTCATGTGCAATAGCACCTTGTTAATAGCTGTGGACTTGAGAAGGAATGTAATATATCAGAGGATGCCTTAACAGCGAAAGCATAATACCAGCATCTCCCTGTCACTGTATTAAGGCACATTGCTCTGTTCCCTTTAGATGTGTTATCTGTGTATTGTAGTCAAGGTAGAAGGGTTGTGGAAAGGTTTTCAAGAAGCGTTGCTCAAGACAGCGCACAGTGAACACTTAAAAAGCAGTGGTAGTTTGCCAGGTAGTCAGCCCCTGAGAAATCTCAGCATGTGTCCACTCTACGTTGTCATTGCAGCGAACTCAGTTGTTCTGTGCAAATTAACCACAGAGGAGTAATGGGGACTGGTGGAGTTAATGCCAGGACATTAAGACACTTAAGACTGCTGTGACAAAGGCTACTGTATATGTTTGCTTCTTAAAGGACCCTTTTAAGCTTTTAATTAAATACCAGCTTTACTTGTGAATTTCAAAGAGTGTGTTCCATTTTGAAAGTCAGTGCCAGCAATTTGAGAGGAATTGCTGTATATCTTGGGACAGAAAACTGAGTCACAGGTTGAAGGTAAAGTAGAAATACCAATTTTAACTACAGACAGAAGACCAGCACCTCTAGAACATCACAACATACCTAGCGCCTTTGTCTCCGTGTGTGTCAGTGCTTGAATTTAGCTCTAACTTTGTGATTCAAATCACTTAAATTATGCAAACAAACTTTTTGGAAGAATTAACTTTTTACCCCAAGTTCTGTTTTCTGAAAACTGATAAATATATTTTATTTACTTCACAAGTAAAGGGGAAAAATGGGGGAAAAAAGGAGTCCTGCTCTGTACAAAATCCAGCTGTAGCTTTTGGCATACGTTAGTGTGAACTTTCAGGTGATTTCATTCAACTGGCCTGAAGTTAATGAATTTTGAGGCTTCTAATGGAGGAAAGGACCCAATTTAATGGCTCTTTGTACCTCATAATGTTGTAAACAACAACAAAATTATTAAGTTATAAGAGTTTTTTTTTAAATCCAGGATGAACTATATTTTTTAAATCAAAACAGGCATACTGATTTAGCTAAGTCACAATGTGTCTTCATGGCATCACTGAGAAGAAATTATCCTCTCGTTGCTTTTGCTGGTGGAGATTGCTTCCTGGACAAACAGTTTAATGCCTGGCTTTACTTTTTAAAAATTCACTGTACCTAGTCAGGTTAAAGGGATTGTCTGAGACATTATTTGACCACCAGATGGCACGGTAGAGCTGAAACATGTGGAAGTAGTTACGGTGACATGCAAGACCCCTGAAAGAGGAAATAAAATTTATAAACGTAAAATGAAGTTGAAAAGGAAATTCTTTGCCTTTCTTACTACATCATTCCAAAATATTTGTAATTGTAAAGCTGACTTTTAATTTTCATTGTCTGTATCACATGAAAATTTAGTTTTAAATCATTTGAATTTTTTTTTCTTAAATGTTTTTCTGTTTTATTTTTTTTTCTTTCTGTTCTGTGCCTAACGCTTTTCATAAGCATTCTCTAACGCTGAATACTTTCTGCTCATCTGTCCTGGTTTTTTTCCTTCTTACACTTTCATTCTGCTCTGGTGAGTGTAAGGAATCTTTCTTCTTAACAGAACATGTTTGAATGTTATGTGTATAAGGATAAAGTTCAAAGGGGTGGTTGTTTTTTTTTTTTCCCTTCATTCATGCTTTATGGGATTTATACTTTTCTCATTTCTGTTTTCCATCTGAGGCTTTTGGATAGCATGTATAGAAAGAAATGTGCATTTGAATACAATTGTTCAGGATACGCAACTCGTAAACTGTTACACATAACAAAATGTTATGGTAATTAGTAGTTACTCAGTAGATTTAGATTTTGTAAGCTGCAGAGATGTGTTAAAGATGGGATGCAGTCATTCATCCTCTTTTAGAAATGTTGCTTCCTCCTGTTTTAGAAATGTTTCTCTATTAATATGCTAAACCAGCATGTTTCGTGCAGTGGTCACACCAGCATCCTGATTTTCACAGACACTCCCATCAGGGGCTCAACACTTTCAGGCTAATATCCTTTGGGAATATTCCTATTTCCCTTTGACTTCCTACTGAGACAAGATTTTTGATTTGACCTCACGCAGTGAAAAAAAATAGGTGAAACTCTCTGATCGTAGATGAAACCCAGCAATAAAAATAAAATCCAATAAAGGCAAACCCTTAGGGAACCTTCTTCCCATCCCATCCCCTCTCCTAATGGCCCATACATGCATATACATTTTCTACATCAGAATAAAAAGTTTCTGAGCAGAACTGAGTCATTAAAAGTAGTCACAGAAAAAGGTGGTTGTGAGTGTAAGTTCAAAAGGACAGAAAACAGTTGTGATATCTTTGGAAACACATAGCAGTGCTCAGTTAATTTAATAGTGAAGACATGTTTATGAAAGGGCTTGGGAGGATCGTAAGGGAAATCGGGAATTGCACTTGAACCTTATCTTCTAAGCAGTGTGTGAGTTTTGTTTATACCACAAAAATAGTTAGAAAATTACTTGCTGAGAAACTGACTTTTGCATGATTCCTAAAGAGCTGCTTCTGTGTGTGTGTCACTTCTTTGTCTTCTGGTATTCTGGAAATAAATAACAAATTCCAAACCTCATTCTCTTTATTCCTTAGATGAAACAGCTGGAGCCAAGACACTATGGCCTACAACTCAGACGACTGGTTGATGAAAATACTGAGTATTGTGCTCCTGAACCATACGAATACATAGTAGACCAGGAAAGTGTGACTCCTTTTAGATAAAACTCCATGATGTCTGTAATTACAGTTGAATTATCACCTATGAATATGTGTGGTTTAGATCTAAAATAAGGTTTTAAAGCTGTTCCTGGATTGCATTCTGCCATCCTCATTCACATAGTCCATGCCTATGCAGACATCTCAGGGGCTAGGCACTGCAAACACTCTTTTCAAGAACCGTTTGAAGATTTAAGTGGGGCTTCTGGTACAAAAGCAAGGTGTCAGCCTCTACGCCAGGCTGGGTTTTCCATCTTTAGCTTACTTTGCATTTAGTCCCACTGATACAGGTGATGCTTGCAGAGTAACACAGCTCTCTGTGTAAAGGCAGCAAATTTTGATTCTTTATTGATGCAAAGAATATCATGCTTATTTCTCATTATGTGCCTTTGGGTTTTGATGCTTCCAATTTCATAATTTGATGACTTCTGTTACTGTTTTTTTCAAACAGGTGTATGATGAAATAGAAATTTGTCCATTAAATGTTTATCATGTTCATCTTACGAAGACTGAAAACATAAGTGATTTTGGTAAGCTCTCAGGAATTTTTCTTTTTATTCTTCTCATTGCTTCCTTTCTCTCTTCAGGATTTTTCTATCTCTGTGAGCAGGTAGAGCCATCCTTGATAGCTCAAAGTCTGAGCCTGTAAAGGACTTGAGGCATTATAAGAAAGACCCAAACTGGTTGTTTTAAACCGGCAAGTGCATTTCTTATGTTTGGGAAGGGTCAGCTTTCTAATTCTGCTGCACTGGTCAGATAATTCAAGCATGGTATTGTCAGAAGACGAATGTCCTTTGCCTGGATTAGTACAATCGGTCTCAGTCAGGCCATGGTCAAGGTCTGCCCTTTCCTGTTTTGACAGTGGGATCCTCTGTTGGTGCAGTATCAACAGAGTGTCCTTTGGTACAAATTCTGACAGGCTTTTTATCCGAGGGACGTGGTTATGCCTAGGAATAATTATGTACCTTGCAAAGATACCTTTGTAAGGCAGCTCTGTGCTGTTCTTTAACTGCAAGTCTGTTGGTATAAATTACTCCTTTCTGGGCTGTCTCACTCACTGGTATGGATTTGCTGCTTTACAGTTTGGGTTTGCAGTTTTTTGGATCTGTTAAGACAGCTCTGTGTCTGATGGACACACTGCAGAACTCTTACCGTAACGATGAGCTGTGTTATTGAAATGTCATATGGAGCTGAAAAATTTTTCTGAAATTATTATATATATTTTTTTTTTTACCAGCATGACATTTCCTGGAAGTTGAAAAGTGTTATTAACTTTAACAAGCCTTACAATGACTGAGAAACAATATGATAATTTCTCTGTGCTCCGTGGGTGTGTTCTCACGAGGACTATCCTCCCTCTGGTTGTGTAGAGTCAAATAAATACACAAAATAAAAGGGAAATATTTCAGAGAATGTTTATTTAATTTAAACCTCTTTTACTTCAGGCTTTGCTGTCACAGCACAAGTTGATGAAAATCAGCATCTCACCCGTATATTTGTAAGTGATGTTCTCCCTGATGGGCTGGCATACAAGGAAGGTATTGTATCATGTTTATGTTTAAAAATGAACTTCATTGTCTTTTTAAAGTCCCAAAACTTGAAGGAGCTTTAGTGCTGCAGTCTGAAATGGTTCTTGGCTTTTGCTATTCATAATTTTCTTTCTTGAAGACCATGGAAAGTATGTGATATTACAAAAGATAATGTACACAGCCTAACTGAATTACCCTTTCAATATAGTGGGAAGAGTTCTTGTTCATCCTTGGAGACAAAGTCTGTATTCAGCTATCCAACCAAGTGCTTTTGCACAGAGGAACAGGCTAGAGAAAGTGTTCATCTCACACTGAGGAACCTCATGGGCTTGGTCAGTCTCCAAGACCGATCACTTCCACTTTTGCTGGCAATGAAAAGTAGCCTCCCTCCCCAAAATAGTTTTCTGCATACATTTCTGTGAGCGCCTTCTCTACTGTGCTGCTCAGAAACCATGCTTCTCTTCATCGACACAGCAGGATCACATGACTTCTGCTTTCTGAAAAACAGAGACACAAACCCAGAAAAGTGGAGGCAGAGAGTTTCATTTGCTACCTGAGGGTAATGAGTGCTTGCTTGTTGCTGACCTTAAAAGGCAGCAGTTGCCACTGTTCAGTTTTATAGAAAAGCTGATAAAGACTCCATCCGCTGTTGTTCCAGTTTTGCATGAATGATTTGATCTGTGTGATTAGTGCCGCCTTCTAGCCCAGATAATGAAATATGTGTTAGGGTGCTGTACATTGACAGTATCAGAGTCGTGAGAGGTGCCTCTGTTCTAATCTTCTTGAAAGTGGTGCTGTCCTCCCACCCACCAAATTCTGTAGCATCTTTAGAGAGAAACAACTCAATTGCTGTACTACGTGTAAGACCTATCAGAGTAAGCATGAGGTTGATCTGTATCATTATAGCACAAATAAAGCTCCCATTGATTCTAATGGACTTCCGGTAGGATTAGGCTATTTGAATTAAAACCAAAAAAATAAAAGGTGAAGCAGCATAAGGTTTGGTTTGTAACCCTTTACATTTTATATTCCCTTTTTAAAAAAAATTATTTTCTTCTTTCGTTTCACATACTCCCAGGGCTCAGAGTAGGCAATGAAATCCTGAGCATAAATGGAGAGACTGTGTCTGAGCTTGATCTCAGGCAGATGGAGTTACTGTTTTCAGAGAGAAACGTAATGCTCACTCTGAGAATGAACCATTATGGGACCCAGCAGCCCTTATGTGCATCCTGGTCAGATGGCGACATTTCCAGGGACCCAAAGAGTTTGTTGCCCCCTCCAAACCAGTCACAGCTCCTGGAAGAGTTTCTAGATAACTTCAAAAAGAACACAGCAAATGGTAAGAGGTTGACAATCATTCAATTACTTTCACCTTACTTCCAATCTTGCTGGTTTTTAAAACTCAATTATGTTTAGAATTCTGTGCTTGCCTTAGTGAGAAGCCCCAGTACAAATTGTTTAAGTTCCATTTATGCTCTATATCTGTCTGTTAATTTTATTATTTTTTAGAAAGTATAAGTGGAACAAAATATAATTGTTTCTGCAGGGAAATGATATTCTTTTAATCTGTTTGGCTGCACCATCCAGTATTATCAAGCTCTCTCTTAACTGTAACGTCTTGAGTACCTCCAATACATCCATTTCCCAGGCATCAGTGGTTGAAATGATGTGACGGCTTTCAGAGGCAGAATTATTGTTCTATGTTTATTATGCTTTATATATGGTGAAGTACCACATACATTGAAGGTACCTTAAATGCAATAATCATCATCACCTCAGAAAGGAGTCCTTTAGCTCTACTCCCGCCCAATGATGCTACTGTGTTCCTGTTGGATACAACTGCTCACTGTGTAGAAGAAAGCCTATGAAAGTAGCTTTCGTAGGGATTGTTCTGCTACTACCTGCTCACATTCCTTACTCAATGTAATACCACTGTATTAAGCATTGAATGGAGGACGTATCCTAACAGTGCTGTGTCAGGGTGACATCTTGATGGGTTTCCATATGAGGAGCACTGGCCAGAGAAGAAAACTCTACATGGAAAGGACTGCTCCTGGATGACATCACGGCCCCCCCCAGCCCCAAGGAAGGTGTCAATGCTCATTGCTGGGTTGCCTTTTCAGCTGGAAATAGGAGGTGGCATGTAGAGGAGCACGGCCACGCTGGGTGGAGGAGAGCCGTGGTCACCCTTCCCTTCCTTTAGCTGATCTTACTTCACATGACAGATACATCTTGCAGTACCAGAATACTCATAAACGCCTGTCTGAAATAGAAAGTATGTGGGGATTTGCTCCCCTTCCTTCCCACACCTTGACTATTTTTCAGACAAGATGGAAGTAAATTTAACTCTCATTTTTTGAGTGTAAATGGTGCAGTTTCCTCGCTGCACCTCTGGGGGATGCTAGTAAAATTCTGCAGGAAAGCTAGCCAGGGTGCACTGCTGCGCAAGGAGAGCAGCAAGAGGTACAAAAAGGGATCGCTGATTTTTGTATATAATTACGGTGGCAAGTGTTTTCTGATTGGAATTTTTTTTCGTAATTAAAAATGGGAGAAGAAAAAGAATCACATAGGAGAACTTGTTAGAATGGATTTAATTATAAAGCAATTTTATTAGGTCATCTTTTGAAATTAAAAGAAATCTGAATACAAGATTTGTGAGACAGTAAGTAGCATCTCTCTCAGGGGCCTTATTTCAATTTAAAATGCCATTAAATTGACTAGTGGCACATAAAAGTTAGTGTCATAAAACAAAAATTATGATAGAGCTAATTAATTACATAATTATACAGGGCTATCATTCAGCTTGTTGCCTTGATATTATAGGCCAGCATTACCTGGAGTATTCAGTATAATAAATGTATGTGACCATTCACTAGATTCCTCATTCCTCCGGGATAAATTTGCAACCTGTGCAAATATTGCATTATAATAGGAAATTACTGGAGTATGTATTACACTCGAAGCACTAGTGGATAAAAGGACATAGTATATTTGCTTTTCTGCTTAAAAGAAGCTAAGAAAGATTTATTTCATTCTGAAAGGGAACAAATAGTTCTAAATTAAGCTTTGTGAGGAGGACTTTCATGTTTATTGAATTCAGTGCTTAGTGTCTGATCACCTGTTTGGGCTCAAATGGAAATGGAAGAAAATGGCATTACTTTGATTTAATAGATAATCATAGAGGGTTTAACCGTTCTATGTCCTGTTACTCACTTAGGAATTGAGTAAGATTTTTGATAAGAAGGGGGGTTATTTAATGATCCAATCAGGGATTTGGAGGCCGAAGACTCTGAAATTCATATCCAGTGTTTAATACTGTTCTGTCTCCTTTGGTAGAGCCACTCTTAAGAACACGGTTTTCAAAAATAGTTTCTGACGTTTGCTTGTCCACGTTGAGCCTGTTCTTCCAAGGTAGCGCCTTTGAATGTCAGTTAGTGCCAGTGGAGGGGGACCTCTTTCAAAAATCAAGCACCATTTGGCTCAATTTACATACCTAGAGTTAAAAACTTTAATGTTTCTGCTGTCACCTCCCTGGTTTTTAAAAATTAACTAACACTATTTATATTTTTTAGAGTACTATGAGGATTAATGAGCTGAAATTAATAAGGTGCTTGGAAAATGGAAATTTTCAGCACTAAGCCACGCAGTAATACCCTGCCTGGTGCTTGGTGACAACCACCACACAAAAGCAAAACAGAATTTACTTTCAATCACTGGCTTCACATAACTTGGATGGTAATAGTTTGTCCACATTTGTTTGCAGTTTTGTAACTGCTTAGTATAACTCTGATGAATACCTTTTCCTACATACTCTGCTATGTTGAGGATACTCAATTATACCTCGTTGCAAACTTTGGCAGCCTTTACTTTACAGAAGGGAAGTGATTGACTTTCTCCAAAGCCACTAACTCTGCCACTCCTAAAAATCATTCCCAGGGAATTTTCTGTGAGTGTGATTCATTTTCTTCAAGAGGTTGCTGTACCCTTGTAGCTGTATTTTGGACCTGCTGTGGTCACATCATTTGATCTCTCACATGGCAACACTATGTTCTTGCTGCTTAGCTGCTTGGCTAGTAATAAGCTTATCCTGGAAAAGAAATGAGATTAAATGCTTTTAAAAAATACACTCATAAATGTGGAAAACCAAGTAACAGAGCAAGTAAATTTGTTCCAGCCTCCAGTGCTAAGGAAATCAAACAAATATTTGTGTAGAATTAAAAAAACCGAAGGAATTGGACTGGAATTCTTACAACTGTGGAGGAAAAATGTGCCTCATCTTAAGATGGCATGGATATTTGAGGAATAAACGAGAAGGCACGAGAATTGCAAATTGTATATTTAGGACAACCCGTGTGGGTTAATGGTATATCTATAGAGTGCTGAGGCAGGAGGTAGAAGCATTAGTAGGTGTGAAAACCCATTGCAGTATGTGAGTTGCTGTCAGAGTTGGGCTATTTTTTTTTCCCCAGCAAGTGGGTTTTTGCCAAAAAACCTGTCATTTCTGGTTAGCTGACACTGTTGAAAACAACCCTAATTTGTAAATAGAGCTCTCTGATTAAAAGGAGAGGTGAAAAAGAAAGAAAAAGTGGGGGATGGCAGTTTGGATATGCTTTAACAAGTTTCTATGAAGAAACACTTTAATCTGGAGGGTTAAAGAGCTAGATGGGAAAGACACCATTTAAAAAAAAAAAAAAAACCAAAAAAAACATTCTGTTCCTTTGCTCCCCATTGTACTCCTCATCTTTGGGGTAGGGCACTTACTTTCTCTGCAGGGTCTGAGTTCCTGTCTGGCCCATCTTTGTAGAGATGTGGTCCCAGGCGTGGTGAAGAAGGCTTGGGTGCTGCTGACAAGGGGGAGGCTTGCTCCTCCTCCTCCTCTTCCCCTGCACCGCCTTAGCCCTCCCTTCCAGCGCAATAGCACTCATCCGGCCCCTGTGCTGACAACAGCACTTGCTGGAGCCCTTGATGAAGCTTATTAAGGAGAAAACATTCTTTCCAGCCCCCCTCTGCAAACTCAGTGACTTGAACCGGCGGGTGCAGAGGTGTGACAAGGGCCAGAGCCAGGTAAGCAGGAGAAGGAGGAGCAGCGAGCAGGCAGGTGCCTGGGGAGACCTGGTTGCAAGGAGAGTTACTGTAAGAGGCAGCGAGCTTTCTTTCAGCTGACCTTCCCGCAGAGCACCTCTCTAGCCATTTCGGAGTATGGGTTTTGCCCTCTGCTTTCCCACCTCTCGTGCTGATCCCCGGGCAGCAGTGTAGTCTGGGACACACTGGTTTGAGTCGCTGCTGCTGAAGCTATTTCACATTGTCTAAAGTATGGCTGGAGTCAGAGAGAGAGTCAGGCCTCGTGCTGTTTGACAAGTAGCTGGGATGTGTGCTGGAGAGGAGAAATGACATTTCAGCTCCTGATTTTCTAAGCATTGAGGTATTTTTGCAAAATGTAACTGCTTCGGGAGGAGGATCAGTGGTTTGAACCCTCACATGGGAAGTGTCTCTTCTGTTTCCCAAAACATGAGCCACCTCTGGTTTTAATCTTAGTGAGCACACACAGAAGCGAAGCACATCAGTTGGCCACAAGTTTAATTTTGATATGACTAAATTCTTTTTTTAAAATGTGGTCATAATAATGATTGGTTTGGATCAATTCCAAGGTACTTTCTGTTTCAAATACGCTTCACTATAAATGAATTCACTATAAATGCTTTATAAAGCATAATTGCAACTCACAGCTTCTCCAGAAAACTTTGCTCCATTCAGCTTCGTCAGATAACGCCAAGTTGAGGGAGGAAAAGAGACAGATGTTGGCTCTGCAGCCAGCTGGCTGTTTGCATGTCACTGCGCACACCTCTCCCGGTAGTACTCCCTGCATCCTCTTCCAGCTCCAACCCAGCCTGAATATCAGAAATATCTGTATGTACCTCTTAAGAAAAGAGATAAAGTCAGGAGGATGTGTCTGTAGCATCCAGCAGCTGGGTGCTGTGCCAGGACCACCGGCTCGGATGGCTCTACTTGTTGCTGTTTGCCCATAGTTTTTAAAGCATTTTGTAAGCATCTTTTAATGTAACATTCAAAACATTTCATAAACAAAAGTAAAACTAAAACTTAACTGAAAAACTTTCCTGAAATAACTTCTACTTTTGCTTCTTCCCAGATCAGGTCCTGTTTGTTTGCCTGGCTGCTGTTTTTTTCTCTTCATTGTACTGTAGGGCATGGCTGCATGTGTGAGGAATAAAATTTATTTTTGTTCTTTCACAGGAAACTCATTTTGAGCTCAGAAGAGGTGAATACAGCTTCTTAGCTTTCCAAGTCCAAAAGACACGCGCAGTCTCGTTAGATCTGTGT